GGTAAAACAAACTCAGTTTCTTTGGTAACTCAAACAGGGAGAATAGTTGTTGTTGGGTGTTTGGTGTGTCACCCAAAACATTGTGGTGTGTCACCTTTGACATGCGTGTCATAGGTTCACCATCACTGCTCTAAGTCATAATGTGATGTGTTTGTTTTTGGCTTAACATGATCTCTGAACCCAGCCATTATGCTTGTTCAGTAATGCTTAGCACAATGTGCAAATTGAGCCAATATGTCAAGCCTTTCGTCTACCTAGTCAAGTTTTTGAAGGGCAAGAAGTGGCTTTCCAAAGGAAAGGAACTCCTCCTAGCTTTGAGATTAATAATCCCTTTAATTCAGTCGACCAGAGCTTGAATCTTGGGGTTAACAAATACATAGCTTCTCTGCTCTAATAAAATGTAGGTTGAATCCACACAAAATTAATTGTTCTTGGAAATTAACAGGATAGATGTGACTTAGTCTCTCTTTTTCAGAAGCTGAAGAAATAGAGGCTAGAATGAATAACTTGCTTGGTATAAATTGTATCTCCTGCTTGTCATTGTAGAATTTGAGGGCATGCTTTTTGCATGATTTTGAGTTCCTAACGCTTTCATCCTTCCATTTACCCCTCCCCACCACAACAGTTCTGCACTTTTGGAAGCAGATTGGTGAGCCCAGGGTGTTATGTGTTCAGTCGACGGCTGGATCGGTTCTGCTCTGCACTCAGCTCCATGCTGGAGAGACATCTTAGCTCACACATGTGGAAGTAAGTTACCCTAGGAGAACGGCAAACAAATTGGGGGAATAATAGGAATGTGTTTCTGCCTTTGCATAGTCATATATGTGCATATGGGCACGCAGTGGAAGACCAGTATAATGTCTTCATATATAAGAAGTCAGTCCTAAGTCACAATATGATAGAGTCTTATGTATTTCTCAGAACAAGTCCTGATTTATTTATTTATTTACAGTTTGTATCTCTGTAAATAAATTTAGCAAACACTGAGTGGCTCACATAAAATTGTATTCCTAAATTTGTACTCTTAAAAGGGATTTAGCAGCAACTATCAAACACTAGAAATGTCTAAAGGTTGGGCCCATAGTGCACAAGAAGAAAAAAAAATGGAAAAACTACAAAAACAGCACAGACCCTCCTTGATCCTGAAAATTCAGTGATATCTATGTATTCATTTCTTTTTTAAACAACTAGGTTTTCTGCATAGTTACATGTTAAAAACATATAACAGTTACAGTGAAACAGCTTAGGTAAAAAGCAAAGTAAAACCACTAACAATATGTAACAAAGGAAAAATAAATTTTAAAAAATGCCAAGGATAAAATGGTACAAAGATTAAGAAGTACCAAAAACAATTGTTAAAAGACTGAGAAATTGTCTTTACCTAGTGCTATCAAAAAACCCCAAGTAATAATAGCTGGGTGGATTTTCATATAGAATTGTGCCACAAGCCATTCATCCAGTTTATTCAGACTGACAATCTTACACTGTGTCATCATTGTGAAAACTTGAGAGAGGTGTCAACTTTGATGAGAGTTTTTCATTTTCATTCCAAGCAAGAGTGGAATTTTTAAAAATTGTGTATTTGTTGTATTTTACAGTTATGTATCTCTTTGACAGAAGTGGTCTCTGGGAATTAAAAAAAAGATATCTGGATCCTTAGAAACAAATAGGGATCAGTTGAATATTTACTGTGTCCCAATAGGTATGCCCACTTTTACACATCATACACATGTTTGATAGGAGCTAGTCATGTTTTTTTAACTTTTATTCCACTGCTTCATCATCAGTCACTTTAAGCCAGTGCCTGTAGAAACATTTGTTGAGCCTCTGATGTTTGGGGGAGGGGGGATTTTCTCCAGTAGATGGCACTGGATTACCAAGTTTGATGGTGTATCTTTCATAGACAGAAAACCTATCTGAACAATGGGTGAGTCTAGCAAGGGAAGAGGTTGAGAGACGATCAAAAGGATACATGTATTTTCAGGCTTCTGTTCTTGCAAAGACCTTTAGAATTTGACACAAATAGGGGCAAAAAAAGAAAAAGAAAGGTTTGAAATCTGAAGGAGAACAGAGGGATCCTGTATAATTTTGGAAATATGAAAAAAACAGAGCACAGTGATCCAGTACTGACATCTGGGCTGAGTAATTGAAAGCTGGTATGTTAAACAGGCTTTGCTTCTTAACTGTTTGTTTTCTTGTTTTGGCCTACCCAGAAGGATTCCTCCAGCTGCTGATCATCCAATTTCCACTACACTATCCCCGATGCTTTTGGGCTTCTCTACTTCCAATACATCCCCAAATTACAATTCCTCTCTGGTTTGCAGCCTTCCCCACAGTACCCCGGGCAGGACCTCTGCATCCTGGGCAACTTCGGTGACCATGGCATCCAGGGACAGCCGTAACCATCATGGTGTGAACTATGCAGTTGGTTCACCCCATGCTGCAGCTGCCTGTAGCCAGTCAGACTGCATGGGTGGAAGCCAGTCCATCACCTCCCCACTCCCAGCCAATACCCCATCACCCTCATTCAGCAAGTTGCCTTCGAACAAGGCCAGCAAGTCCTCCAAAGCCAAGGAGATGGCTGGCAATGTGGAGCCAGAAGCCTTAGCTCGGAAGCGCAAGCAATCTCCCAGTGCCCCTGCTAGCCCACCATACAAACAAACTTGTTTCTTAGATCTGGGCAAGAACAAAGCAGCTGGCTGCCAGGTGTCTCATCCATCTGCCAAGGCCAAGACATCTGTGGTGGCTTCCTCCAACCTTTCCCTGAATGGGACAGTCTCTTCAGGGGCCAGAATCAAGAAGGTCAGCCATCTGGATTGCAGGGCACCTAGCCACATGCCAGTCAAATCCTCATCACTGGAGAACCAGGGCTCCTCATTGAACGGTCCAAAAACACTGCTGACCAACTGCATCTCTGATGAAGAGGCCAAGAGACGCAAGAATTCAGCCACCTACTGTAGGCCAGTGAAGACCAAGCACTCGCCCTCACCCATGCCTTCTTGTTCCTCGTCTGATTTAGGTGGCTCAGTCAGAAGGAAGAAGCCAGTTGTCTCCTTTGAGGAAAAGCAGAACACAATGAAGGTAAGTTCCTATCTTGGGCATCGTAAGTGTATAGCTGAATTTTTTTCCACCTTCAGAGAATTATATGGCTTTCTTTTTGCCTTCATCAACATTGTGTTGCAAAGTCTGCATTCTGCCATTACAAGGTTGACTACTGCATAAGTATAAACTGGTACAATGCATCAAGACAAATAAAATAAATATTAAAGTAGGTAGCATCACATACATTCCATTCAGTTTCTGCTATAGTGCTGTTTGAAGTATTTAAATATGGTGTTTTCTTATGTGTGTTTGCATTTGTTACATGTTTGAAAAATAATGTAGCAAAATTGAACACCAATGAATAGTCACCATTTCAAGTCTGCATTTTTTATTAGTATAGTAAGCTTTATTTAATGGATTAGCCAAATGAACCATGAAATGATCAATTGATGAGGTCAATTTTTCGAGAAATAAGGACATGTAGCAGATAAATTTGTATTTGTTTTTATTTTCTCATGGTAAGAATAGGATTTTTAAGCAATGTTCTTTTTTTAGGTATTTAATAATATTGAAGTGTTTTTAAAATTACTGTACCACTCAACAGCAAATATTTCTGAACAGTTCTCGTGCCTTTTTTAAAATTTAAAAAGGAATTCAGCAACATTGTTAGATTAAGTCAATTTACAATCATTGAAAAGTCAAATGATCATAGCAACTAATTTTATTGCTGGGGATGTCTATTTTTTATTAAAGCCTGAGGAGGCTGTTTATTTTGAATAATAAATAAATGCTGGGGAAGGCTGTTCCAGTAGCTACTATTTGGAATACTAGCTTTGAAGCCACATGAAACTGTGTTTTATTTCTGCACAATTTGGAAGGACAGGAGACAAAAACATAGTGGCTGAAATCACAAATCATGCTAAGTTTTAGTGTGCTTTAGTTCTGGTTCAACCATAGTTATTTGTAAACCACAGTTTATGGCTTGGCATTACATGTTCAATAACCAACAAGGAAAACAAACCTGGGTTTAATGTGATGCGTGAACCTAGTATTTCCACCTTTCTTATTCTGCTTTTTTAGTCCTATGCATGCTTTAGTGTGTGCTAATGTTCCAGTCCTGCTTCTTAACAAGATTGCTTGACCTTTTAAGAGTTGTACAAGAAGCAGCAATTCACAAATGCAGTTTTTCCATCATATGAGATAGAAAAGCAGCTTCATCTGCTAAGTTGCTGTCTTCCTGGGGGATTGGGGGGGCACAAAATGGCAGCTAAATGCTCTTTGAAGGGACAGGAACATATTTAAACAGGAACTATGTTAAATATATTGGAATAGTCAGATTTTGATCAAAAAGACCAGGTTATGCAATTCCCTGGAAACATAACTGAAAAAAGGAAACTGCACATTAGAAATGGACCTTTAATTTACAGGCTGTATTTCTGTCGTCGGTATAATTCATATCTCCTAACAACTTGCTGAAATCAAGCCTCCGGACACACTGATAGATGTTACTGTAATGTTGCAAATTAGTTAAATTTATCTTGAAATAAACTGAGTGGAATGAGGAATGAAACCCCATTTAATGATCAGCAGCCCCTTTGATGTTTCTGTTTCTGCCAGGCACACCTCTCTTTTCTGCAACTCAAAGAGCTAAAAGTTTCCTTTTGGGAGAAAGAGAGCTGAGAATTCAAGGCATCTGAATTCAGGCTAGTATTGGAAGTTTTATGGCAGGGTGTGAGCAAAACTATGTTTGGTTCTCCCAGTACAAACAAAAAATAGCTTCTGCTTGTAAAATTTGTTGTTGTTGTTGTTGTTTAGTCGTTAAGTCGTGTCCGACTCTTCGTGACCCCATG